GGGGCAGGCGCGCAGGGCGGGCACCCGAGGGGGGGGTGGGGGTGAGGGGGAGGGAAGCCCCAGGCGGTGAGGTTGGTGAGATCGGCTGCGCTGGCAGCACCTAGGTCTCTAGATCCGAAGGCGCGGAGCTGCTACCGGCCCTTGGCGTCTTCCTTTACGTGGAGAGCGGAGATAAGGGTTGGCTCCGAGTTCCTCCTCCCTCAATGGGCAAACGACGAATCTTTTAAACAAATAGCTTTAGATTGGAGTTACAGGGAGATTTATCTAGAGCGGAGGGGTGTGAGGAGGCGCGCCCCTAGACTGACCCGCGCTGTGAAGGTGTTCTTGTAGGTTATTTTGGGGGCGGTGGGTAGGTGAGGGAAGAAACCAGAGTAGGAGCGAGACCCTTGAGACTTCTTCCTTTCTTTCCACGTCCCCCAATCCCGGTGCCAGGCCACGTCCTCGGGCCGCAGGGTTCCCAAGCCAGGGCGTTGGAAAATGAAACCAAAGCTTGTTATGAAGGAATCATTTCAGTCCTTGAGCGAGAATTGCCACGTTTCGGGTCCTCAGACTCCGACTCTGCGATTTGCAGGGGCCGAGGGTTAGGTGGGGAGGAAGGCGACGAGCCACTTCAAAAATAATAAACCCGCACAGTATCCTCCCTTCTGAAAAACCACCCGAAAGGCCCCTTTGGCAGCGAGTGAAGGAGGGAAAACCACACAGACGAGGGCGAAAGCAGGTTAAATATTAAACTTTCCGCATCAGATAATGGCAGAGTGTTTGGGGAGAGCCCTTTCGAGCTGCTGTTGTAAAGTCTTCGGTTTTAAAGTCCTGAGCATGTGACGCCGAAGAATCAAACATTTCGAAGGGCTGGATTTGTAATCCGCGGGTGCGGCCGAGGTTCTGGTTTCAGGAGGATCGGGGAACAAGCCTGATCGCAGCGCCGCACCGGCCACTTTTCAGTGCTGGGTCCCCCGGAGCCTAGAGCCACCGAAGAACGGAGAATGGATTTTTATTTTACATGTCAAAGGGGCGCCTCTTGATTTCATATTTAGACACCAGAACCGCACTCTCGACCCCGCTCAGCGAGGCTACTTTCTGAAACTTGTTTTTTTTTTTTTTTTTTTTTTCTCTCTCTCCTTTTTCTTTTTCCCCCTTTTGTTGTTGCTGCGGTCTCCTCCTCTCCCCGCCAAGACGCTGCCGCGTGCGCCCCACCGCCCAGCTCTGCCTGGCCGCCCAGAGGGGCCCCACCGCCTGCCGCCTGTGCGCCCCGGGACGCCGGTCCGCAGTCGTGCGCGCAAGCCGCTGGCCGCCGCCATGCCCGCTGCGGAACCCCCACCAACCGAGGACTCTGGGACTACGCTGAGGCCTAACTTTTAGGTCCCACTGAGCGTGGCCCGCGGGCCCGGGTGGGGGGCTGGCCGCGGCACTCACGCGGAGGATGGATGGCCGAGATTTCGGGCCCCCGCGGTCCGTACACGGCCCCCCGCCGCCGCTGCTGTCCGGCTTGGCTATGGACAGCCACCGCGTGGGCGCGGCCGCGGCCGGACGCCTGCCCGCCTCCGGCCTGCCTGGCCCGCTGCCGCCCGGGAAGTATATGGCCGGCCTCAACCTCCACCCACACCCGGGTAAGTGTACCACCGCACCGGTCCGCCATCCCAGGATCCTGGGTCAGGGAACTGGCTAGGGGAGGGAGGCTGGCGGGGGGGGGGGGGCATTCGGCCATTTCCCCGGCGAGCGATCACGCGGGCTGGCACCTCCCTCTTCCTCGGAGATGGAGGGAGGTGCCGACGGGCTCAGCTCCCGGGGCACAGAAACTTACCCCCATGACACGGGCAGACAGGGGCGCGCCAGACTGTCCCGTGGCGAATACGTTTTCCAGAATCCGAGACATCCAGGGCGATTCCAATCCCAGAGCTTCTGCAGCGCGTGCCTGGGCTGGGGTTTTCAAAATCTGGGCGAGAAAAGAACAAACCAACCCGACAACCCGAGAGACGCCCGCTCCCCGAGGTCCAATCTTTTTCTTGGCAAACGAGCTGCTCGCCTCCGGTGGGCCCTGGAGTCTGTTTCCAGGTCCTCTACTCGCACCTTGCTCTCACTCTGCAGGGTCTTGACCAATCCTGAGAGCCGTGGGGTACTTGCCGAGAGCGGCAGGCGGGCTGCGGCCCCTCGTTTCCAGTCAGGAGGGCAGCGACCTTGGTCCAGGGGGTCCTCTGCTCCGGCGGGAATTGCGGGTGTGCGCCGCAGCGAGGTTGCTGCCTTCCACGCGACTCTGCGAGGAAAGAAGCGGCGCTGGTCGGGCGGGTTCCTGCGGCTAAAGGAAACCAGGGTGGAAATGTGAATCTGGGAGAAACGCTACGACCAGGCCCGGCGCCTCCGCCATTTCCCGAGAGGGACTGCCCTGCGCTTTGGTACCGGCATCACGGGCGGGTGCGCTGGGAGGACATTTGTTCTGTTATTCCCGGATTGGGTTCTGCTGGGAAGGGGCGATCGTGGCACACTGACCTGTGGTCTTTTCTGGAGGCCCGATCCTTCCACCCGTGCATCCCCCGGCTTCTGTGCTTGATGTCCCACGTAGCAACTTAAAAAGCCCGCTTTTTCTCTCCAAACGGTGGTTTAGGACCCTTGCCACTTATTGGGGGAACCTCTGACGCTCCCTCAGTCATTGCTTCCTGGCAGGGCGGACCCCGATTCCGGAGCGACCCACTGACCCTAGCTAGCCCTACCGGTCCCGCCTGGCCTAGGCTTGCTAGTCACCCCCCACTCCCCTCCGCTCCATTTAATTTTTGTCCTGGAACTTTTCAGGAACCCGGGGCACGGTGGGACAAAGGGCCTTTGTGCGGGCAAGCGGGGGGAAGGGCGCGGAAATTCCCGGCGGGGCCAGGGGCACGCACCCCTCACCCCCATCCTCTGGCTCGTGCGTTCCCGCCGGGAGCAGAGGCCGTATTCTGTCCCGGGACTAAGACCAAAGTGAACGTTGTCTCTCGAGCGGCATGCTGCGGCGAAGAACAGTAGCCGTAGACTCCTGGAGACCTGGGTTGGGGGCGGCCGCAGGATACAAAGGGCCTCCCGAGCTGTCCTCTGGAGCGGACCCCCGAGGTCACAATGAGTTCTATGGGCTATTTTCAGCTTTAGGCTACTCAGTCTTTATGGGTTGTTAGAGGACAGTGTGTGTGTTGGGGAGGGGAACTTGTACAGCCTGAGGATGGACCTTCCCTGGCGGACAGAGCCTTCGAGTGCCTTCCCGTGACCTCCGTGTTCATACTGGCTCCGACCTTGTAGAGGCCACATAGGCCCTCATCAGAAGCAAAGAAAGCAGCCCCCAGTAATCAGGGACCTTTAGTGGGCGGCACACCAGATCTGGCGATATGCCAGTGAGAGGCTACCCCCCCCCCCCCATTTCGGAGATGGGGAACCCGAGGCTTGAGCGGTAGATTAGGGAGGCGAGTGGGAGGGGGCCGCCGCCGACTGGGTTGGTGCCTCCTGTCCTCTGCGGCCCGGCCGGGAGCTGCCCGATTTCTGCGTGCTCTGCGACTGAGGTCATGGAGGAACTGGCAGGCGCGCGCAGGGAGCGCCCCGGGCCCTGGCTTGGACTCCGGAGGGGGAGGGGGAAGGGGCGCCCTGCTGCCTACACCTCAAGAGGCCAGACCTCAGACCCCCAGGGCAACGCCCAGTGGGGAGGTAGGCGCTAATCCCTTTAGCTAAGAGGCTTGGAGCTGCTTGCTTTTCAGTGCTTGGGGGCGGGTTCCAGATTAGAATTTCACCAGCCCAGCGCTCTCCCCACCTCTTTGCGGGGTGCAGGTGCTAAAATTTCCCTTCCGACACACCGCTCCTCTCTCCTCCTTGGCGGCTCCTTAGGTATCGCTGGCGTTATCATTTCCATTTTTATTTGTTTATTTTCGTACAGGGAAGCCCGGAGAGGTTGAGTAATTTACCCTGGGTCACACAGCCAGGTAGAAGCAGTGTTAACTCTGCCGTCTTTCTTTGCCGCCGCACAACTGTGGGCCAGCGCTTAAGGAGGGCACCCTGGCAGAGGTGGCTAGGCCCTAGGAAAGCCCACAGGCGACCCCATTCAAACAAGTCTTTGCGCTGTGGGGTTGGGGGAGTGATTGAGGGTCCTCTGGAGGCATTTTTTTGTTTTTTCCATTGTGGGTCGAGGCGGAGTGATTTGGCCCTGTTTTCTGCAGAAGAGAAGGTGTACAAACAGCAATGACGAAGGCTTGGAGTACTGGAGTTCCGTGGTTTCCATTTCGCATAACCTTGAGTGCTGATGATAGAAAAAGCAGTAAATGTTCCCAGACCTTTACTGTACCTGAAACAGACAGGGAGGTGGTAAGCAACAGGCAGGCTTGTCCCTGAGAAGACCTGTCCCGAATTCTGTTCATGTTGCAATTAAAGAGCTATTAGCAGGATTTGGGTTGCCTGCTTGCATACTTATTGTCCCTGCCCCAACATTGCAGGGCTGTTCCGGGAGGCTGCTACAGTATGGAAGGATCTGAGCACATCAGCATGCTGTGGCCCTGCACTTTGGACTGACCAGTGGACAATAGAAAGCCATGAGCCTTCTCCCAGGGCCAATCAGATCTATATGTCTGGAATCCCACCGGCCAACCTGTTGAGACTGATTTAAAAAGATTAATCAGTGGCACCTGCGGGTGGAATGATGGGCTTGTAGAGATAAGGGGGATTTACAGAGTGTTTCCTTCTTTGGTCTGAGGCAGTAAGGGAGGCTAAGGAAGGTTCTGGAATCTGGAAGGGCCTGCTGGGCCCCCTGCCTCTCTGAGCCTTATGACACAGGTCCTAGGAACTTACTTCTTTTAGTAAGTAATTTCTGAGTGCCTTGTTGGGCAGGCCATCCCTCTGCTACTGGAAACCTAGCAATGAATCAGAGGCCCCAGCCTCCACTACCAGAGCAAAACCAAAAACAACAAAACGTCTGTCCATCCCATTCTCATTCACCTTGACCCCACACTTTGCTGAATTGAACTTGCCCATAGGATTTTATTGGCTGTCATCTTTATAGAAGCAGAACATCAGTTTTCTTCCAAGGTGTAGCCAGATGGGTTCGAATCCCCGACCTTTAGATTGGCAGCCTGCCAGGGGACTCTCAGCTGTGAACCACATACACAAAAGTCTTTGCCCTCAGTGGGGATCCAGAGCCGTGTTGGAGCTAGGTAATAAACCCACAAGTCAGTGAGGGAAATCATTTCACACAGAGCTACAGGCTAGGAGTCAAATGCATTGAGGAGGGTCTGTTTCTGCCCAGAGTGAAGAACGCGTGTGTCAGCCAGGCCAACCCTAGAGAGATCCAAGTAGCGAACCTTTTTGGTAAAAATCAGAGAAGTGCAATCTAGACAAGAAAACAGCCTATGGGAAGACCTTGGCTTGTTTGAGGCCCCAGGGAGCCTCTGGAGAAGAGATGGGGGAGGTGAGGAGGAGGATGGGAGTCTGCAGCTCCCCTAAGGCTTGGAATTTTAAACAAGGAGGAATGAGGAGGCAGTGCTGTGTTTTAAATGGAAGGAGTGACTCAAATGGAGAGACATTTTACAGAACATCTGGTCTGGACTCTTTAAAAATATCTCAATGGCATGTCAGACAAAGGCAGGCTGAGGAATCGTCCCTGATTAAAAGCCACTAAAAATGATGTGATGGCTGAAGGCGTTGCCTGACCCTGGAGTAGATTCTGGGTCAGAAGAGAAATAGCTCCAAAGGAGGCTGTGTAGGCAATTGGCAAAATAAGAATATAGACTGTAGGAGATTACCTGATGGAACTCAGTATTATTACCTCCCTAGAAGTAACTGCTCTGGTTATATAAGAGAATGTCCTTGTTCTTACTAATAACACTGAAATGTTCCGGAACAAGGGATAACGGTTGAGGAAAAAGAAATAACAACAAAAGCACATAGTCACGCATAACTTAAAGTCCACGATACATTTGGTGAAAAAGAACGAACGTTATGTGATACAGATAGTGTGCAAACACCGTATTATATACAGACAGTCCCCAGATTAACAACTCATTCCCTTCCTAAATCTGTCTTTAAGTTGAATTTGTACAGAGTTGTAACAGATATAGTTTGGCTTCTATCTAAGGTCAGTGACGTATTTATCTGAGTATGTAGTGTACCTTTCTACACATAAAAAAGTTAAAGAATTACTTCCAGATTTGCAAAAACATCTTTGACATAATACAGTAGAAATAATCATGTTTTGATCCACATTGCAAAGTAACCACAGTTGATCACAAGTATGTCTCAGATTTTTTAATGTAACAGATTCTACAGGGGTTGGGACCACGGACATATAGACACATCAAATGTTGCCTGGGTGTGACATGTGACACATGACTGTAATCGTATAGCAATCCAAACGCAAACGAAACCTCTAACTGTTGAGTCATGGTTGACGGTAGTTAGCGAGCAGAAGTGAGCTCCATAGGGTTTTCTATGCTGGTGTCTTTTTGGAATCACATTGCCAGGCCTTTCTTCCATGGTGCTGCTGGGTGGATTTGAACTGCCAACCTTTAGTTCAGTAGTTGAGTTTAGTTCAGTAGTAGAGTCTGGGCCAGTTGATCTGTAAAACGCCATTCCAGGACCTTGTAAGTGTGGGAGACAATGATAACATAAA